AATTACCTTCCCTCCGGAACATTACCTCCTTCTGGGCCAGAGCCGTTTCCCTTGGAGCAGGAGCTCAAGCTGGTGTCAGCCATTTGCTGCCCCAGGGAAGCGGCCTGGAGCTGGGCCACGCTGGGCACCCGCCTGCCCTGCTGGGCCACAAATCCGCCCCGTTCCCCGACAGCAAGGGAAGGAGGGACAGGGATGCCTGCCTGTCGCTGCTCCTCTTTTCCTGGGTGAGCAGCTTGGCCTGTGGCAGGTCCAGCCCGGCGGCGGCAGAGTTTGCAGAGCCAGCCCAGCCTGTCACATGCAAATGTCCGGATAAGTTACTGCCTGCAAACAGGAACCACTTTATGGAAAGCAGCAAAGCCCTTCCCAAATCGCCCCAGGGAATGTTCCGAGGCCGCCTGGGGAGCAGCCAGACCCCAGGTGCAGCAGCCAGGCTGTGGGGATATAAGTTACTGCCTGCAAACAGGAACCACTTTATGGAAAGCAGCAAAGCCCTTCCCAAATCGCCCCAGGGAATGTTCCGAGGCCGCCTGGGGAGCAGCCAGACCCCAGGTGCAGCAGCCAGGCTGTGGGGATATCCCCACCTGAGCAGCGTGTCAGGGCCCTCTGGGGCAGGAACTGGGGTGTCCCAGTCTTTGGGGCACGGATTGGGGTGCCCTGGTCTTTGGGGCAGAGATTCCAGCCCCTCCCTGCCAGGAGACAGCCGATGGATGAGCTGCAGGGAAGCAGGAGGGTGAGGCAGGGTCTGCCTTGCTCTGAGCTGGGGTTACTCAGCTCTCCTGTGGTCTGGCAGCGTTTCCCAGCAGGCAGCTGCTTCACCTGCGCTCTGGGGACTTGAGTTATTTCTGGATAAATAAAAGAATGGGATCAGATGCTGTCCTTGTCCTCTGCCCATCACTGTCCTCTGCTTTCCAGGAGGGGAGTGATGTGCTCAGGGCACCAGCTCTGTCCCTCCCTGTTTGCCCCTGTAACTCTAGTCAGAAACTCAGACCCACAGCAGCTGCTTGGGACTAGGTGAGTATCTTGGCAGATGCTAAAGGAGATGTTAGAGCAACTTAATTATTTTAATTTTTTTTTGAGTCAGTACTTTTGTGCCAGCCTCATATTCCTCTGGGCCTACCGTGGTTTTGAACACTGTGTTGGCAGCAATTGTGACATTACACTGTCAGCAGCAAGTTCCTTCCCTAGGCCTCAGTTTCTTGCTGGGGAGCAGGCAGAGCAGTGCTGTTCCTCCCTCCCAGTCCTTGGACAGTATCTAAATTGGGTGGCTTAAACATACCTCAGTGGAGGGGGCTGCCTGGCATCCTGTTTGGGTCCAGCAGAGCTCCCAGTAACCCCCACACTCTCTTCTCTCCCTAGTGCAACATCGGACGCGCTCTATGAGACATCCCAACTCCGGCAGCCCGCAGCATCCGTGTGTTGGAGCAGGACAGTTTGTTACCAAGTGTAAGTGCCTGAATCTTTTGCGGTGTCAGTGACAGCTATTTGAGAGCAGGGATTTCCCCTGCTCAAAGGACTTAATTCCTTTGAAAAACAGTGCCTTCCTTTGCTGCTCCAGCGGGGTGGCTGCACTGGGGGTGTCCGTGGGGGAAGCCGAGCGCTCACAGCTGCAGCAAAACATTTCATGTTGGGGCATGAACTCCTGCAGCACCGGCTCTTTGGGCCCACGGTTGCAGGAGCTGCTCAAGTAGCTGCCAGCAGAGAACAAGCCACAGAGGAGACGGTGTTATGCTCATTAAGTTACCGTACCACAAAGCTGTGCCAAAAATCTGCTGGCAGCGTTACCAGCTGCTGCTGAGACCTGCCGGTGTTTCCGGGGGCGCGGGATGCAGACGGTTGCACTCTCATGTCAGGGCTGGGGAAGCTGGATCTGGGGTTGGTCTCTCAGCCCCTTGAGAACCATCTGACCTAGAGAGTGAGTTGCTGGAGGGAGATTCACTCAAGGCTCTGAGCACCCCCAGATCCCCTCCGTGCAAAGCCTGGTGACATTGGTGGGCTCAGCCTTAGCTGGGCAGAGCAGGGAGTCCCCAGCCTGCACCAACTGGAGCCTCTCCCACAGCCCATCTCTGGGTGGAGTTTCCAGAGCTAAAAGGGACTTGCAGATTATTAATGCTCTGGGGCTCACGCCTTTGTTTGCGGCTTCTCCACTGGCTTTGGAGAAAGGAAATAGGAGAAGTAAAAGCAGGGATCCTTCCTGGGGACCACAGAGGGGATGTGTGGCTCAGGCAGGTGAGCCCAAGCCTTTGCAGAGCGTGTCTTTCTCCAAAGCATGAGTCAGTCATTGAGGTGGCAGGAAAAGAGCCTCCCTTGTCCCAGCCTTTGCTTTGGTTTTACTCTCAGCTTCTGACATAACCAGGTCACTCTTTCCACACTTCCCCAGCCTCAATGAGAGCCGATTACTGATCTGGATGGACATGACTCACTGCCTTTTCTAATGAGCAATTTTCCTCTGTTTATATACTTTGTCGGGGCCTTTCATACACCTAAAAAAGGAGAAGGGTGGCACTGGGGAGAGGGCAGGGTGATCTGAATTGCTAGCACCCACACCCAGCCCCCATGAGCTGTTTCTTACCATCCCCTTGGACTCTGGCCAGTTGTGAAGTTGCTGCTTTTAAGCATGAAAAGGGTGTAGCTAATCTTCCACGTGCTAATCCAGGCCCACAGGTAGGCTGCCCAAACCCTTGACAAGTAATTGGGGGTAATTAGGCTGGGAGATTTTTTATTTTGTTTAGTTTTGTTTTTTGTTATTATCTGTCCAGGCAATGCCTGGGGGGCCTGGTGGTAACGAGCACTGTGCAAACCCAGAACCACCTTACCTAGGGAGGTTTGCCAGCAGGAGGTTGTCCAGGCCACGGCAGGCTGAGTTGGGTTTTCCTCTTCTCTTGCATAGGCACAATCTGGGTGGACAGCTGCCCTACTCATGTGGCATTGCTTGTGTTTTGCAGTGACTAAGCAGAGGAAGCTCTCACTGTCCTTGCACCACCAGACCAGACAAACCTTCCTTTGGCTGAAGATCCCGCTGGGTCTCTTCCCATAATGGAAGCGTGAGTGCCAAGATCCTCCATGACCTCCAGAAGCCACAACTCCTTACCGAGAACTCTGATGGCTCCACGGATGCTTTCTGAGAGCGCCCTGGGGGGCATCGCTCAAATCACCCCCTCGCTGTACCTGAGCCGGGGCAGCATCGCTTCCAACCGGCACCTGCTCCTCTCCCGGGGAATCACCTGCATCATCAACGCCACCATCGAGATTCCCAATTTTAACTGGCCCCAGTTTGAATATGTGAAAGTGCCTTTGGCCGACATGCCCAACGCCCCCATCTCCCTGTACTTCGACAGCGTCGCCGACAAGATCAACAGCGTGGCGCGGAAGCACGGGGCCACCTTAGTCCATTGTGCTGCTGGCGTCAGCAGGTCGGCCACCCTCTGCATCGCCTACCTGATGAAGTACCACAAGGTCTCCCTCTTCGAGGCCTACAACTGGGTCAAATCGAGACGCCCCATTATACGCCCCAACGTGGGCTTCTGGAGGCAACTGGTAGACTACGAGAGGAAGCTCTTTGGGAAGACGACGGTTAAAATGGTACAGACACCATATGGCATCATCCCAGACCTTTACGAGAGAGAGAGGAGACCCCTGATGCCTTACTGGGGAATTTAATGGGACTGCAGATGGGAAGCACAACAGAAGGGACATGCTGTTCTCAGTCAACCAGCCTGGAGACATTCCCTTCTCCTTCTACAGCCAACATTGGTTCTTTACCATACAGCAGAACCTCAACAAAATCTCAACTCACTAACCTGCAAGGCCAACAACTCCCTTCAAAGCGTTTCTCTCTACAGGGATTTCCCCCATCCCCATTTCTCTGATCTAGCAGAATGAGGTCTCCTTATAAGTTTATTCCTCTCATAAAGCCTCCCTCCCTTTTTTAGTCAGTTTATTAGTATCCTCTGAGGAAAGGCCTAAAAGGCACTTGGCAGAGTTAATGAACAAAGCGCGCTTTGTGATGCGGTAGCCTGGATATTTTGTTCATAGCTTGTTTGCTTCCCTGCAAGATCCCATAGTGGCTTGGGAGCAGCACTAGCACAGAGCCAGTGAGGTCCTTCTCTGTGCCAGAGGATTTTTTCCAAGAGCCAGGAAGGCAGACATGCAGGGTGGTTGGGGTGCTAGTGCTGGTGTTTTCTTTAACATCTGTAGTGACTCTCAGTATATAGTGTTCGAGATCTTTAGTCAGCTCTTAATCTGTATTAAAAGTAAAAATAAACAAATAAAAAAAAAAAAAAGAGTGAAGTCAGTCTGTGTCGGCCACAAGTAAAATAAAATTTGAATTATTCAAATCAAATAAATACAAGATCCTTTTTTCACTCATTCCATGGCCAGGGCAATAGACCTGGAATACACTTACACTGCTGAAAAATGCTGGTGTTTTTTGTGGGTGGAAAGTAAACAGAGATCTTGTCCAACCATGGCTCAAGACAGAAGCAAGAGGTTAACCCTCCCTGCACTGGCAGCCAAAGAAACCCTTAGGAAACTGTCTGTGCATGGCCACCTGCCAAAGAGGCTGGGGTTGGTTTTCCTATAGTCAGTCAACCAGTAAGTTGGAAGTAGGAACAACCGCTTGACTACTTAGCTCTAAGTACGGTCGTGATCTGCCTTAGCCCATTTCTAAATCACTTCATGATGTCCTCAAGGTTATGTTGCATTCTAGAATTATTCTGCTCAAAACGGTGATCTGTCCAACCTCCCAGACAAGGATGGCTTTATGGAGAAGGCTTGGCCTTGTTCTGTGTGTGACGAGAACGATTCCAACCTGAGATGTGGGAGAAGCCTTTCCACGGCGTCGCTGCTGCCTCCTGGACATCGGTCCCAATCCCAAGGGTGGGACGGGACTGGCTTTGTTGGATCGTACCCAGCCCACTAGGAGAGCAAGACAAGTCCTCCATGAGACATCTGTGTCCTCTGTTGCATCCCTGAAGGAGGAACAGGCAGATTGCTGGATGCTGAGATAGCTATCTGATTTAAATGAGATTCTATACTTGTAAAAACAAAATAAATCAATAAAGATTAAGCAAGAACATGTGTTGGTTTCTGTTCAGAACTGCCCTAATGTGTCTCAAGTAACAACGAGAACATGGTGAAATACTGAGCAGTGCCTTTAAATAAATCCAGACCTCAGCCTTGAGAGAAATACTGTGATCTGCTCCCCTCACTTGGCTCATCACAATCCATCCACATGTCCTGCAGCTCCTGATCCTCATCACAAATGCCAGGCAATTAATTCGGGTATTTCAAAAATTTTATCTCCCAAAGTCCTATCTGAGGTTTCAAGGAAGGGCAGACATGGTGAAAGGTTATCTCCCAGCTGAACCACACTCTGAGGGCTGCTGGACTACTGGGTTTCTGGTTTTCCCAGACTTGAAAGCCACTGGGACTGAAATAGTTACCACGGTGCACGTGGCCTCCACTTCTTCTGGATCAGAGGTAACACCAGACCTGGTTGGAATAGAATTTCAGAGGTTTTGATCAGTCAGGTTTCAAATTTACTGCAGAGACAAGAGTTTTACCAGGCTGGGCAAATGCCACTTGCTTAAAGCCACTTGCCAGGGGAAGGAAACAGGGCTCTGCATTTTCTAGGCCCCTGTGAGAGGTCCAGTGAGGGCTGCTGCAGACATTTAGAGACTTTAAATTTGGCCCAAGACCACTCGGGGGGGCTTGGTGGCACATAGGCATGGGAGCATGCTCCAAACCCCTGGGGTCAACAAACTGCACAAAGGCCAAACCTGTGCATGGAGACATCACCGTGAGATGAGTTGCTGCAAAGTTCTCAGCAATGGAAGGGCCTCCAAAGCCAAAACATTTCCTGCATGCACATATAGACAGCCCAGTCCCCCTGCAAACCTTTAATTCCTAATCCAGGATGAGCTTAGAAAAAAAGGAAAATGCACATTAAAAACCTCAAAATACTTCAACACCATTTCTTCCCAACAATACCAGCACCTGGATCTCAGTGTCCTTGGGTGTCAATGACCACCAAGCACAGCTCCGAGCTGGCAGGGGAAGGTCTCCTCCTGGCTTGGGAGATGAGCAGG